GATAAAATGATTAAAAAAAAAAAAGATACTGGAGACCTTTTTAAAAAATGAAAAAAAAAACGGAAGGAGAGCAAAGTACAGGAAGCCTCGGCAAAACGCTGAGCCCCAGTCTGGCATCAGTTTCTACCCTGTAATACATGATTGAACTGCCCATGTGGGGTTCTGAGGCTGTGAATCTTCCCAAGAGTAGAAAGCCGCCTCTTTCTCCCTGCTGGTGGTTTTTGAACGGCTGACCTTGTGGTGAGCAGCCACACACAACTCCCTATGCCACCATTGCTCCTTACCACAGGCATAGTGTCTAGGATTTACAGCACATAATTTGGGAGACATAGTTCAATCCATAGCAATCAGGAATCTGAGAACCTTGAGCCCTTGAATTCCATTGAATCACTGTTAACAAAACCAGGCCTCTTAGCCCCATCTGCATAGAGTACTCCATCTTTGCTAAACCATCCTTTTCACCATCATCTGATGAGATTAACCCAAGTGTAAGTGAAGAGTCTTTGTGTGAGATCATCACTTGTGGTAGCATATGAGGCAGGTACCTTCTTAGACATTACAGAATATCCCCAGGACCCACCACCACCTCAGATTCTTGCTTTTATACCTCTGAGTAGACTTCAGTCACAGCGAACCCTAGGAAGTGAAGAACAAAGTGTGACGCAGGAGGAGGTATGCTTCACTCCAAAAGAACTGCTTGACATCTCTATTAAGTACAAGCGGAAACCTGGGAAATGTGTATGGGAATGATTATTAAGGGTTGGGAACATAAAATTGGGTCAGCGTGAGTTTTTTATGTGGGTCCACTCAACACAGATTCTTCATTCCGTGTTTGCGCTCGAGAAGGGAGAAAAGGATCTGTTCCCTGAAGGTTGGTTCCCTGCAGCACGGATTGAGCAAGTGGCCTGTACAGAATCAAGCTGAAATGCCGGAACTACATTGGTATTGTACAGGAAGGTATCGAGAGGCTGAGAGAAATTGGCATGGTAGAGTGGATTTTATCTGGCCGAACCCACCCATGGAGTGTGGCGAGGACACACCTTTTATTGCAACCAGTGAGGGACACATCTGTGAAGGGAGCCCCAGCACCCTTGAAGACGGCTGTGTTGCCGTTTTATGTGTGCCAGATTTGACAGTGGGAACTGACCTAACTGGATTAAGAAACCTAACCACAGTGGGATTGATTGGACCCCAGGGGAGTAGAGGCCAGCGGGGGCGCTTAAGCATCAAAAATAAGGTGAGCACGGTTACTGAACTGGACAGCGGAATCAAAGCAGTAATCAGAATAGTCTGACTTGTCTGGTTTGATGGTTTTAGTCATAATGATCCTAGGAGTAAAAAAGATGGGATATCTAAATACCTGCCTGATCTGTAAAGCAAAATAATTCTGCTTCAAGGGAGTAGCAATCTAATCACCAGGAAAAAGAGGTTATATATCCAGCCCCTCACTTCTTTCCCAGACTTAAGCCAGTTTACAGACAACCCATAGCCCCTTGGATGGAGAGGAGACTAGGTCCCCTTCAGGAAGGACTGTGTTAGACGACTAGATACAGATATTGTCACTGTTTTCTCTAGCCTCACCCAAAGGGATCTATGTATGGCCTTTTATGTGAGTGACTGTTCACTAGGGAAAAAGAAATAATCACACTTTTTGTGCATTACAGGACACTGGCTCATAACTGACATTAATTCCAGAAGACCCAAAAAGTCAACAGGACCCACAGTTATTAGTGGAGTCCTAGCCAGGTCCATCTCACAGTGTGTCCAGTGGGTCCCTGAACCCATTCTGTAGTGGTTTCTCTAGTTTTGGAATACCTAATTGGAATAGACATGCTCAGCAACTTGCAGAACCCTTAGATTGAATCCCTGACATGTGAAGTAAGGACTATTATGCTAGGAAAAGCCAAGTGGAAATTAATAAGATTCCCCGTACCTTGAAAATAGTAAGCCAAAAGCAACAGCACAGTCCCGGAGAGTTACACAGCTTAATGCTATCACCAAGAAACTAACTGTAAAATGCAGGGGTGGTGATTCCTACCACACCCCCAATTTAACTCGCCTATTTGGCCTGTGCAAAAGAACAAATGGATCTTGGAGGATGACAATGGATTATTGTAAACTTAGCCAGGCAGTGACTGTGGTTGCAGCTACTGTTCCAAATGAGGTTTCATTGCTTGAGCAAATTTAATACAAGATAATTAAAAAAAAGAAAAAAGATAAGTAAAA